ATGGCATAGTTAGAAGGTTGTATCACTGTTACATATTAATTCTTCTTAATTAGTTAAAACATCTTGTTCAAATATATTTATCCTGTTTTGATAATCAACAGGACCCCATATGAAAAAATTTCATATACCCGTTAAATAAACCGATTAATCGAATCTGTGAAAAAAACTAAAACCCCTCCTATATTTCCTTTAGCCCTTAATGATACTACAACAATAACAAGTATATCTTGGAATCATATTACACAAACATGTTATATCATAATTCTTTGGTGAGCCTTAGCCACACCACTATTCAATAATAGCACAATTTTCTCCCCTTTCCTCAATAAAATCATGATAATCTACACTTGTGTCATAAGTAGCGTTATTTGTCAAATCAAACGCAGTATTATCATGGTCCATTTCTTATTCATTATTTCTAGCATGACCTATTACTTGTTTCCGATAAGCTCTTCGGAATATCATTGATATTCTTGTACCACCAAAGTTACTTTCATGTATTACCAGCTTACCCTTATAGAAGTGACCTGATTTTCTAGATTTTTTAGGATTATCCAGCTGAAGTTTCTCGAAGCTTGTTTAATCATTTGCTATTCTGATATTCTTATTCCTAAAATGGTCTCTTGATTTAAATAATTCAAATTTAAGATCACAATTTCTTAATTTAACTTAAACAGTTCAATTTGACTCTTCTGAAAACTCACCTTTTCGTTTGGCATACAGGATATCATCATCATAGTCGCGATTTTCATTATATCTTTCATTATATCTTTTTAAATCATTGTAATGTTTGAAAACAAATTTTATAGGTAACAAAATTACAGGAAATGTGTCGGCGTTGCCAGAAATTTAATAATAATAAATATACAAATAGGCACCAAACATACTCTCAAGTCATGTTCTCAAAGGAAAGGATATGAAATCAAATGTGAAGATTTTATAAAATGTAGAAGATCCTGTTATTTATTACATTTTGTCTGATCAATGAAGTGCCATAAAAGATCGGTTTATAAAATGAAGAAAATAAAAAAATAAAATTAATTAAATAGAAAATGTAAAACAAGATTCGTTAACATCATTAAAAAATTGTTGATCAATTATATGAAAAGCGTTTGCAATTTATTCCTTTTTTACAGAGAGACGATTAATTGTGGCCTCCAGGTCCTTACGTTACGCGTATTTAAACAGTTATATTTTTATCAATAGGTTCTATTTTGCAAGAGTATTTTTCTGTGTTTTGGCTTTTTATAAAACCTATATTGATGGAATATATCGTTTCAATATCAGTATTATTAATATGGTTAGTAAATTTGTAAAATTTGTAAAGAAGTAGTTAATATAATAGTGCATTGGCAAGTTATTGGATATTGATGCTCCAGTTATTACTTATACAGAGGATCTTAATAAGTGACTTTTTAAATTGAAAATTTTAAACGAATTGGAATTAAAATGATAAAATACGAGGCTGCTCCTTGTATTTTATCCCTTTTATTCAAAGACTTCATAAAATAAATATAACAAGACACGAATCTCACATGAAACCAATAAGCCTTTAAAATATAAGAATATTATGATGGATATTTGTTAGTTCTGCAGTTACACATAAATGAACGAATAATGCATCTTGTTGCATTTCATTACATTTTTTGTACTGGTCATTTTTATTGAATTGAAGTGTATAAAGCAATATATCTTATGCAAAACTTATCGTTTGGATTTAAAAAAAACAAAGAATACTTCCAAAATGCTTGTATGAAATAACAATGACAATTAATTGCCTCAAAGCGAGTGGCGCATGCACAAAGTCATTTATAAACAAAACAAAACACAACTTAAAATAGTCAAATAATATTTTGTTCCGGAACATTTTATTCTATTTACATTCATGTGTGTTAAATAACAGAGACATTCTGTGTTACAACTTTTTCGGGAATCAACCCTATAAAACTGAAACCTATATAATTTTACTGTTGACAGATTTTATAAAAATATTTCTATACCCTTTAACGTACTGGACGCAATATATTCAATATATCTATTTAGACCGGTTGATATATATCAATCTTAAAACATCATTGGGAAAAAAGGCAAAAAAATTGAAACATAACATCCATACATAGACATAGACTGAAATTGTGTTGTTTCTTATTCCTGGGGTATACCTTGTAGTTTCGATGACAGTTAATTTGTTATATAGCTCTCAACTGACCTGTGAAATGCCATAGTAGATCAAATATCAAATTTGACTTTGAATGGTATTGAACAGTATTTGGTATACCGCCAATATTGATTATCTTGCTGACGCGTGAATAATAACACCGGTCGCCCTATTAGCCAGACTTTTTCCGAAGAAAAAATAGAGATATTGCTACAGTCATAATGGCTTTCCTGTTGCCGTTCCCGAAACTTTATCATTGATCATAACCTGTAAATGACCTAGTTTATTGCCTTCATAATTGACTACAACAACCCTTAGGACCAAACCTTCAAGTAGACCAGACTAAATTTGACCTTCTTTCTTAAATGACCTGGATCTAAAAGGTCAAATATCTTAAGTGTGCTTGCTTTATGCTAGTTGTGGCTATATCTTTGTTTTTTGTGAATGAATTGCATTCAAACTTGAACACAACAATCATGAGGAAAGATCTTTAAGTTAACCAGACAGCTACTGATATTCACTAATAAATAACCTTCATCTTGAAGGTTTATTATTGATTTTTGCTGTAACTGAATACAACATTGTTATTAATGCATGGAATGACTTCATATCTAGACAAAACATTTTTAAGATTAGACCATTATGTATATCAAACCAAAAATGACATTGTCCCATTTATGACCTTGAATAATGATCTTGAAGGTTGGATAACTGAATCTTCACTATTTTTTGCTATAATCGACTGTAACTTTGTAATTTATAAATGCATTATTTTTATACTTAGTCAAAACATTCCTTTTCAAATGAACTGACTTTGATTTTGAGCTTAATGACATTGACCGTCAACGTCTGATTAATAAATGTTTGGTTAATTGGTCATTATTTTGTTCATTATGTACGGATTTGGTTTAGTAATTACACCAAACAAGATTTGCTATCAAACAAACAAACAAAAACATTGAATATTTTAGACATATCTTGACTTTTAATTGACCTTGACCATCAAGGTCAAACTTAAGAAATTCTCTTTTTTATAAGATTCCAATCATTTGCAGTTTACGATTTAGAATTAAACTTTGATATATCAGAGACCTAGATTTTGACACAGTAAATTATTCTCAGCTGACCTAAATAATTTGACAAAGTGACCTAATTTTTTTATGTACAGTTTTTTTTTAATTTAGACAATGTGCATGGTTTTAAATTTAAACTTTACTTTGATGTCCACTGACAAAGATAGTAAAAACATGACCTTCTTTCTTGTTCTTTAATGTACAGCTTTCAAGTTTGGACTATGTGCACAATTTCAGATGTAAAAGTGAACTTGATATCAGCTGACCTATATAATTTGAGAAACTTACCTTCTTTCCATCATGACATCAACCTGTAGACAGGAGGAGGTAACTGTTTCAAGCATTGTGACAGAATTATGTCCCTTTTTCGACTTAAAATATACGTTAAAGTCTTTGTTATAACTCAATATTTTCAAAGTCCATTAATATATGGCTTTGAAACTTTGCACACTTGTTTGCCATCATGACCCCAGCCTGTAGATAGATTGTAGTAACTGTATCAAGCACTTTGTCAGAATTATGCCCCTTTTGATACTTAGAATTTACGTTAAAGTTTTTGTAAAACCTCAATATTTTCAAAATCCATTGACATATGGCTTTGAAACTTTGCACACTTGTTCACCATAATGACTCCAACCTGTAGACAGGAGGAGGTAACTGTATCAAGCATTTTTACAGAATGAATTATGCCCCCTTTTCGACTTAGAATTTACGTTCAAGTTTTTGTAATAGTTCAAATATTTTCAAAGTCCATTGACATATTGTTAGTACACTTGTTAACCATTATGACCCGAACCTGTAGACAGGAGAAGGTAACTGTATCAAGCATTTTGACAGAATTATGCCCCTTTTTTTACTTAGAATTTACGTTAAAGTTTTTGTTATACCTCAATATTTTCAAAGTCCATTAATATATGGCTTTGACTATTTCACGTTTAAATGTTGAATTCTGCTTAAGCCGGTGCTAGGGGGCGTAGACGGTAGTTTGCACTTTTCAGTACCGTTCATGAACAGGCTTAATCAAACCGAGCCTGCAACATTTTCAATTTTGCCGTGTTGGGCATTCTTTAGGGATTCTGTATTTATCTATTTTGAAATTTGGCACACTTGTTTGCCATCATGAACCAAGCCTGTAGACAGATAAAGGTAACTGTACCAAGCATTTTGACAGAATTATGCCCTTTCTCGACTTAGAATTCACGTTAAGGTTTTTGTTATACCTCAAATATTTTCATAGTCCATTGACGTATTGACGTATGGCTTTGAAGCTTTGCACACTTGTTCACCATCATCACTCCAACCTGTAGACTGGAGGAGGTAACTGTATCAATCATTTGGCAGAATAATGCCCCTTTTTCGACTTAGAATTTACATTTAAGTTTGCATGCCACCTCAGATATGTTCTATTGACATCTGGCTTTGAAACAAGATGAAATTTTATACTCTTCGATGAGAGCATAATAGGACTCTCTTCAAGGCTTATAACTGAAACGTGGATTCAAAGAATAATTTTGCCCTTTTATTAACTCAGTTTTAAATTATCAAGGCTTTTTTACTATCAAGCACTAAGAATAGTCGAGCGTTACTGCCCTACCGACAGCTCTTGTTTAAAATAGTTTTTGTTTCTTAATCCTTTCGTGTGTTTTAGAAGATATCAAACTATATTCAGGGTTAAAGACGTCCGATAAGTTACCAATAAATAAATCTTTGTGTTGGATAACACATGTGCGATAAACAAACAAATAAACGCAATCAACCTGTACACAACATTTATTAGTACAACACAATATATATTGGAAAAAACTTGATAAAATGATAAAAAATAGGTTCTTTTCTGTTCTATTCAATTAAATTAAACGCATATATCAGTCAAGCACATGAATATAACGTAAATAATCATATAACTTAGTAATGACCTGTCTGTATTATAAGTTTACATATTCATTAGCTTTTTTAAAAAAATTATACAAAATGAGTGTTACTGTAAATAAATTGAAAATAAAACAATTTGTGCAGATCGTCGGCAGAAGTAGCATGTATGATTGTTTCTTAAAATGTACAACAACAAACATTTACACAGGAAAATTACTCTATTTCCTTCATGATTAGATTGCATTTATCATCCCGTTGTATTAACTCAATTACAAAGTTTCAATTATAAGTAAAATTGAACAATTAATTATAGGACAAATAATCAGGGTCTAACTGTCGATAAATAGCCTGGTATTCATAAAAATGAATTGTAAGGGGGCACAATTGTTGCGTTCAACAGTAATGGCTTGTTATAATGTACCTGAACCTGTATACATGATGAAAATTAATTTGAAAAATACAATACAATAGATAAAACACAATAAATAAAACAAAAATATGATACTTAAATTAAAATATATGGTTGTTTGAATATAAGTAAAACTATCAATAAAAATATTTCACTAACAATTTTACGACATTAATTAAATATACTTTTAATTTCAATACGACACTTATGTTAATAGTTTTCAAGAATTTACTTGTGTAAAGTAATGTATTCGAATCATTGCTTAGCTATCAGTATCTCGCTGTTTTTATTTATTTTCTCTTTTTGTCGGTTACAGGTTAGGTGTTCAATTGTCCCATTCTTTTTTACATGTTTTTGGCTTGCAGCCACGGCTGCAAGCCATTTCATTTGGAAAACTTGTTCCGGTTAGGTGGTTTTCTGCTTTCATTTGTAAGTGCATGATTGAACGGGAATCCAGCTGCAATCGTGCCAATCGCAACTTTTCGGCCTTTTCCGTCACTCTTCGGATTAATGATAAAAGCCGATGTAGTTCCGATTGCAATCGTGACAATTCGGGCGATTCTGTCATACTGCGGAATCAGACGAAGTAATATTACGGAAATCTAAGCTATTTTAGTTACTTCGGTAATCCCAGTTTGTTTATATAAATAGGATTCGTATTTTTACTTGATTTATTGATTTAAACCGTAATAAATTATAAACGATATTGTTCCGTTTCAATTCTTTTTCAAGAAGCAAAAGTTAGTTTCTTTTATAATTGTTTTTTGTCTGTATTAGTTTTATACAATAGAGGATGTTGACTGTAGTAGTATTCCGTCTTCAAAGGGTGGTCCAAATCACACAGAATATTAGTGCATGATCGAGTTATATTTAGATCTACTGAACTTGGTGAGGTAATCTAAAAATAGCCCATGCATATCATTAACCTTACAACGTACGTGATGATCTATAGATAGCGCAACGTATCTGTGAACATGCTTATTAATTGGTGCCACGTAATGAAGTGGAAATGAAATGTGCACTCTTGTTTCCTTTCAGTATGATAGATAGATCTCCACGTTAGTATTTTTACGATTGATTATTTTCTTTATTAGTTTTATACAATAGAGAATATATTTCAAATCGTTTTGACAAAAATATTCGTTTTTACAAAACTAAAAACAACTAAATATGTTGGGATGAAGGCACAACTGTGCAAGCCTTTCCTTTTAAAAGGAAACTTTATTACTTTTTTATGTTTTAATATTTTCATACCTTTCTTTTTTTTCTTTAGACGGAGATAAGCACTGTTGATATATCATCTAGGGTGTTTTGTTTAAATTTTCCTCCTGTCAGTTACTATAAAAGACTAGGGTAACAAATGTGTATATTATACCTCATTTGCATACGCCTCTCTATATTTAATATGACGTCATCCGGTCCATAAACCGAATACAGACCGGGGGCAGTCCATAATACTTATATGGACTGGATGACGTCATATTAAATCTGAAAGTTCGGGGTTTTTTTGCCTGTTTAATTTGATTAACAAAAATTGAATAACAAAAAAGGGCATGATTTTTTTATGCCGTATCGCTTGAAAATAATAATAATATTTCAATGTTTCACACACTGAACAAATAAATTATTATTTGAAAGTAAATTATAGTAAAATGTCAGCAACAAAAGGGATGAAAGGATTTAGATTCGGTATAATTTAACAAATAAAACATGGCCTTTCGGGTAAAATGAAAGTTTACAGACTGGTTTGTCAGACCTCGGAAGGTATATGTCCCTCAGCTGCGCTTCGGGCCATATACCTTCCTCAATCTGACCAATCAGTCCGTAAACTTGCACATTGCCCTCAAGGCTATGTGTTATTTGTTAATAATCACTCTTGTAAAAGTGCCACTTATTCAGATAATGGTGCTTTCAAGCTTTAGTATTTTGTAACATATAGTGTCTGTAAAAAAAGTAGATTGGTTTTACATTAAACTAATAATTATGTAATCTGTTTTGATACATTAATTTGCAAAAAAAACATGTTTAAAAAACGTATTAAAACGATTGTAACGTCTTAAATCGCAATGCATTTCAAACCATCAAATTTTGCAGCATAAGCGGTTAAAGTAGTGTTGATTGTGTTATTTCAGCAAACCGTTAAATTTCATAATAAAATGTTACATATAATAAAACGATAATAAAATACAAAAAAAATGTAAAAAAAACAACCACTGGGCTTAATATACCACGGGTATTTAAACAACAACGATTAGAAATAAGGTTTTAAATCAAATAACTAAAATGTCCGAGCCAGAAAACAACAATTTTAACTGTTCATATGATAGTGAGAGGTTGCATTCATTCAAATTAAATTGCAACCTTACGAATATAGTAATGATGAACATAAATACAAAAGTGTTCAGGCAGTAATTAATGAAGTTTTGAAATGTCACCATGCTTTTTCAATGTCACATTTGCTTGTATCGAAGTTCCTTCAATTTACTGTGTTACATTTATTTAAAAGAATTTATTCAGCAATTTTCATATTCCATTCGAATGTCAAACAACAATTCCCTTTCTCGTGGTGGTAATTTGTAAAGTTCTTGTATGATTTCTAGAGTTATAATTACCTAAAAATATCTAGTTCAACAAATCATTTCTCTCTAAAAACGGTAACTACTCCCACAAAACTGTTGCCTTTCTTTTGCTGCTAAAAGACCTTTCATTATCATACCTAGGCTTTTGATCCTTTCAGTTTTATCCTCTGGTTTAAAGGAAATAAACGGTACAGCTTTTACTTTCAGCGATCCTGTCAGCTAAAATAGTTAGATATATTACATTAACAGTAAAACCATTTGTATTTTAAAGTACATGTTGTATGTTTTCCATTACATTGTGTTGAAATGATGCTAAATAATCGCAAGTTCTTCATTCTCTCTATATATGCTTTAAAAAGGTATTTCTTTTATAACAAAGCACTACTCTTTCTTGTGTTCAACAACCTATTCCTTGTTGACATTTTACATATTGATCATTTGAAGCAGACATTGTTCAGTATGAGCTGATATCCTTGGATCTAAAATGTTTGCATATGAATGAACTATCCTCGAATGATTTCAAAGCAGACATTTTGTCAAATCATAAATATCAAATATCAATTACTTTCTAAGAAATTAAGAAATAAATTTGACAATGATGACAGTCAAACAACCACAGTGAATCTTTAATACACAGTTTTATGTAACAATCTAACATTCCTCCTTTTGCAAGAAAACATGTGCATGCATATTGTATCAAAAAATCTAGTGTTAAACCATTATAAAAGTAAAATGAAATTTGAATGAAATGATTGAATACAAGCAAAATAATTACCTTGTTGTTTTTTACACCAACAAACAAAGAGTCTTCGTCCAAAAGCCTAATATCTAGACAGCAAGAGTCTAACCAGTCTAATGTTTGCGTCAATATCACGCAAATAGATAAGACAGACACACTTGATATTTCCACATCGTGAGAAATCTTAGTTATGTCTTGAAAATCAAAATGACGGATCGACTTAGTGAATCGACGGCTGACATTTAAACATCTAAGCGTTTTTTCTCCTACTTCTAAAATAGAAAAGAAACTGCAATCTTATAATCACAAAACTTGGTTACATCATATTAATTTGTTTCTGATATCAAATGATTTGTCTGTGCGAATTAGTATTTGATGATTATTGAAAAGGAATTTAAGCGGTACATAAGCAATTTTATAGTATCTTCCCTTTGTCCCTAGTTTTTATTTATTTTATTCCCCCCCCCCTTCCCCGTGTCTCATGTCCCCTTCCCCTGTGCCTTTTGACATAATGGGCCTTATATTAAATCATTTATTTGTTTTGTTTTAGTTCCTTATAAGATACTTATTATGTATTCTGATGTAGTGGTTTGCCTGCCCGTGCTCTGCCTTGTGCCCTGTCCTGTTTTCCTTGGGGTCCTCCTGGGCTCCTTGCCGCTGGCGCTTGTTACTGGGTCGGGTGGGGGCTGCGTTCATTGAATACCGCCTTTCCTTGTCGATCTTGTTTATCATATTTTATATACGAAATTATACTTGCGCTGAATTTAACCAAATGGAAGTTTAGGTAACTCACCTTCTGATGTTTTTTTCAATGATTGTTCATCTGTTACAGGGTTAAATGTCTGTCGAAAAATTAAATTTAATTACTTGCAGTTTATCGGTGATTCAACTAGCAATGTGTATATAGAGCACGAATGCCCCTACACACTTCCAACTATGGATGGGACAAAGAATAGCAGAAAAGCGTGACGGACAGGAAAAACATATTTACACACAAACCCTTAGTGGGCGTTATCTAAGTACTAAATATAAAAACAAAAATACGATAAGTTATATACATTGTGAATAAAGAATTAATGAATTAATCATGTTTAAAAACAATGACATGCTCATAATATGTTACTATAGTGTGTACAATCAATTTAATTCTTAAAAATAACAAATAATGGAACTTCTGACTTTAACGACGGTGAAGGGGATATGTTTGTTTGTCAGCCAGAGAATCTCATGTAGCTATTACATTCAAAGTAATGTGAAATAAAACATTTTTAAGTTCTAAAGTTTACTAAAATTTAATAGTACAATTCTTACTTTTCCTCCTATGATTGCGCTCAGAGTATACAAAATAGGATTAAGAGCCGAGTTGACTGGTAATATAAATACAGCTGCCCATGCATATACCTCTCCAGATATCACGTGACCAGACAGCGCGAACATTGCTAGAATTAAAGATACAATAATCATGTTTCACTATTATATTTATACTGAAAAGTATATTTCTCTGAATAGATTTCTCATTAATTTATTAGCCAGTTTATGCCTCAATGAGTCAATTAAAAGCTCATATTCCTGTCTTTATGTTATAAATGATAAAGTTATAAAGATTTTTGACACATTACATGGTCTAAATAAACGGTTGTTTGTATATTTAGCTCTTACCTTAAGGCTCTTGATATATTGCAAATAACCGTAAATATATGGCTATATTGCCTATCCAGAATATATAATAACAATAATTTACACTTAAAACTTTCTATATTTGAGAAAAAATTAAATAACTTCATACTTAACGTAACATACGTTGGCATGTCTTTGTGTAATTTTCACAATGTGCATATATTGTTGTTTCAGTGCTTGATATTCAAGTTGAAAGTTTATAAGACAAATAGTAGAATCAATAAAGAAACAGATGAATTTCTCTACAAATGAACTAAATGTTTTTAATCATCACAAAAAAATACTTGTTGCTATTGAGAAAGGAAACATACAACAGTTCAAAAAGATGTGTGCAGATAAAGAAAAGAAAATCGGGAAACAAAGTGATCCCTCGGAAGCATTGATCACATCAAAATTACAAGAGAAATGCAGACTAGGTTTGATTGAGTCTGTACATGAGTGATAATGAATACGTGCAACATCACTCATGCCTCCTAGCACCGCACCGGCTTGAGCGATACTCAATTTTCAACACTTAATATTGCTGATATCAATGATCCCGAAAGGTCAGAAAAAGAAAACAACACTGAAGTGAAGTACGGGGCAACTTTTTACAGCTGCCACACAGCACTTGACACCTGCTGTTATAAAGTATAAAGTCATTTTCCCAATAATGTTGACCCGGGTCTTTTATTTGAAATAAATATATAATATCGTATTATAGAAACTACTTATTTTTTAAACAAGAGGGCCATAATTGCCCTAGATCGCTCCCCTGACCCATTATCCACATCCAAGCAATGTCTTAGACAAGCATCCTGGCCAATTATGATAACAATTGAGTCTAAAATGTCACCTCTTGTGTGTTGAAAACGTTTTTCCATATTTGGACAGTGTGACCTAGCTCTTGACCCCAGATGACCCATATTCAAACTTGACCTAGAAATCATCAAAACAAACTTGCTGGCTAATTTCAAGGATTTTTAAAAAACAACAGGAGCCAATAGAGAGTTAAAAAGATTTTTCTAATTTTAGCTCCTTTGACTTAGTTTTTCACCAGAGATACCCATATTTGAACTTCTCCAAGCAATAAACTAGTCAAGCATGACCCAGTTTGATGAGAATTGAGTCAAAATGGTACCATAAGAGTTTTAACAACTTTTTTCCATATTTGGGCAGTGTGACCTAGTTTTTGACCCCAGGTAATCCAAAATCAAACTTGAACTAGAAATCATCAAAACAACACACCTGATCAATTTCCACTGGATCAAAACTGCAACCACAATAGAGTTAACAAGACTTTCTACTTTAAGCTCCTGTGACCTAGTTTTTGAACGGAGATCACCATTATTCAAACTTGATCTAGAAATTACCAAAACAACCTTCCTGACAAATTTCCAGAACTTTTGGATAAAAACTAGAGCCACTAGAGTGTTAACAAGCTTTTTCTATTTTTAGCTCCTGTGACCTAGTTTTTGATCGGAGATAACCCATTTTCAATCCTGTCCGGGAAGTCATCAAAACAACTTTCCTTAAAAATTTCCAGAACATTGGGATAAAATCTGCAGCCACTAGAGCGTTTACAAGATTTTCCTATTTTTAGATCCTGTGTCCTAATTTTTGACCGGAGATGACCCATATCCGAATTTCAACTAGAAAATATCAAAACAACATTTCTGACCGATTTCCAGGAAATTTAGATGAAACTGCAGCCACTAGAGTGTTTATAAGCTTTTTCTATTTTTGGCTCCTGTGACCTATTTTTTGACGGGAGATGTTCCATTTTCTTACTAGGCCTGTAAATTATCAAAACAAGTTTTCTGACAAATTTTCAGAATATTTAATTCAAAACTGCAGCCACTAGAGTGTTAACAAGATTTTTCTATTTCAGGTTCTGTGACCTAACTTTTGACCGGAGATGACCCATCTTCGAACTAGTCCTAGAAATCATCAAACAATCCCCCTGACAAATTGCTGAATGTTTGGATCAAATTGCAGCCACTAGTGTTAACAAGACTTTTCTATTTTTAGCTCTTGTGACCTAGTTTTTGACCAGAGATGAATCATCTTCTAAATTTATCTAGAAATCATCAAAACAAACTGAATGACAAATTTCAAGACTATTTGGATCAAAACTGCAGCCACTAGAGTGTTTACAAGCTTTTTCTATTTTTAGCTCCTGTGACCGAGTTTTTGACCCGAGATGACCAATCTTAGTACTTGACCTGTATTTCATTGAGACAAACATTCTGTCAAAGTTTGATGATGATGCAATGAAAACTGTGACTGCTAGAGTGTAAACAACCTTATTGTTGACGACGAACGACCGCCAGACGCCGGACATAGCCCCAACACTTCGTGTTAAGATGAGCTTAAGATATCTTGATGATTCAACAAATAATGTGTTAAGATATTAAACACTGTGCTTGTTTTGAACTAGATTTTCATAACTTAGAAATAGGAAATAAAAACTGGTAGACTTTTTTACATTGAAAGAAATGATCGCAAATGTAAATTATGTATATATAAATGTATTGAATTCATGTGGTCCAATTTATACTAGAATCAAATACTTTGGAAAACATCCATGGTCTACTTTTTAAATAAAGCTTATTCTTGATTGTGCTCACTTTGTCTATAATAAATTTAAGTTGAGGCAACACTGTCTTGTATATGAAATTGCTTCTTGATTTTTTTTGTTTTATGTTGTATGATATAATGTTTGTACATGTTAAACTATTGGCCATATTTGTCAAGATACTCTCAAATTTTCATTAATAATGGAAAAATGTATTTTTTGTGTTATTGTTTTTTTAACGATTAACTTATAAAATGAAACGTTTAGAAATGAAACCTTCGATGTCAAAAGTGTTTTAGTTATTGTAAACTTACCGTGTTTGCGGCCAAAGCTGTAACAGTCTTTTTCAAGATGTTTACGATGATTCGTAAATTACGAACACTTTTGACAATAAAGAACAAGAGCTGGTTGAACCAAGTGATGCTCCCCCAATAGGTTTTGGACACAGGAAGGTATACCTCTTGTTGTGTCAGAGTTATGTCACAGACAGAGTACAAAATGAAAAAATAACCCCCTTTTTGCGCGCGACATATTGTCACAATATGGTTATCATTTCTGTGAAATAGTTGTGAAATCCGACTTCAAATAACAAAGTTATGGGCCGGACACAATTTTGCTGCAAGGTCATGCTTAGACCTTGACCTTCAAATCTTTCGGGGAGCATAAAAAGGCACAAAAAACTGCATAATTGAAAATTTCGCGGGCTTAGTTCCATGGAGACTATTTACGAAAGATAATGGTAAAGTCAAGCTACCATTCACATCCCTTTTTACTGGCTTTATCACCCCCTTTACCTAACTAATTGTTAAATTCAACATTTAGACATGTATATGGTGAATTAGTGTAATTCCATTATTAGCGATGTATGGAGCCAGTTCAAAAATATATAAAGTATCTTACCCATAACTCCAATAGGGAACCAGCACATAAAATCCGTTGCTACAACAAGTAGAAGATTCCTGGCAATTTTTAGGTCCCTTTTTCTTGAAGCTTCCACAGTGGTTGCTATTCCAGAATAATTGCGAATTTCAATAAAAATCCAAAGCTGTCCAATTGCGACCAAGATAAATGTAAGGAAATTCAGGCAAACAAAGACCGATAAGGAATAAACCCACCCAGGCGGACGATCTCTTGTTAGCGGTAAAGCAATACAAACGCCAGACTTTGAGTAAAATTCGTTTTTAAAATATCCTTCATATGCAACAGGAAGTATGGCTGCAGTAGCTGAAAATAACCACGTGAAAATAGCACATGTGACAGCTCTGTCTTTAGAAAGTTTAACTTGTCCAAAAGGAAATTTGATGACCAAAAGCCTATCCATTGTGATAAGACACAGAAATAAAACGCTTGCTTCCGAAGAAACAGTTGAAAGTATTCCTGCAAGGTTACACCAAACACTGTGCCTCCAGAAGTCGTCCATAAACATGTATCTGATTATATAAAAAAGACACAGTGTACAAATACTTGATTAAAAAAATGAGGTAGGTTCAGCTGACATCGGTGTAAGTTATAACTGAAGTAGGAGAAGAATAAAGGAAATAAAGATTTTGATATAATTTAGTACGAAACTGCTATGGTAACTGACCAATAACAATTTCCTGGTAATAATTTTTGATATCAGGTTAGTAAACTGAAATCAAAATATAAGCGCCGCTCATTTAGACTTTTTAATAGGTTATATTCTTTTTTTATCAGCTTTTGACAAATTTATCTCATACCCTTGCAAAACTCGAATCAAGATGTGAATTCTATTGTTATTTCCTTTTCAATTACGAACAAATTAGATAGCGATTAGTTACGCACCAACGTTATAAAGTGACATCATTATTTATTTCGCAAATGACATCATCGATAGAAGAGAGATTAATATGGAAAGCCTTAAGAACGCAAAAAACGACAAAAATGATAGTGTTGCAAGCTCGGTTTGATTTAGCCTATTCATGGACCGTCATCCACGCCCCTTAGTACCGGCTTTAGCACAATTCAATATTTAAACACAAAAGTGGTGAACTTTTGAATTTAGAAACATCTACAGATGTGTTCATACGGCGGTTATCATAGAATCGTCAATGAGACACAGTATTACCATTCCATAACAAGCCAGTAAAAGAATGCGCGTTCGCTAAACGAGAAAACAATTGAATAAACTAAACAAAATGGAATGCCCGCGACATATTATAAACATAATATTAAACATGATTGACGATTTTCTGGGAAAAATTGTAAATGTTTACTTTGTTTCGTCAGATCATTATTTGTTAATTGAGCAAAATTATCTTAGAAAAAATACGCATATGTGTCGCTTGTGTTCATTGCCGTGGTTAACTTTTTAATTTGACATTTCAAGAAAGTAAAGTACAGTTAAGTTTATCATGATATTCATAGGGATATTTTTGGATCGATGTTTAAAGGTAATGATCTTAATTTATTATATTATGTTGTATCTATTACCAAAAGATTTAATCACTGTCGTGTTCTGGCTCCCATAACTTAATATGTCGCTTTTACTTTGACGTTGTGCGACAATAAAGTTATGGGTCAACCCTATTTGCAACGGCTACCAGAATTTGGCAGTTCGTATGTAGTATATAAATAACTATAAAAATCACCTTAATTATTCAAATTTGATCAAATAAAATATCGCTTGGTAAACATTATCAATTTTGAATCTATTAATATTTCTTTAAAAATTAAACTTCAATGACATCGTGTACAGAACTATTTGTTAGGAAATAATGTAGAGTTGGTTTACCAATGTTGAGTCTACTTTCAAATAATATATCGTGGGACTTCATATTTTGGGAATTCTAGGGTCTATTTTAGTTACGGGCCATACACTATTTTAGTAATGTACTATTTTAGATAAATACAAAAACAAAAGATTAATTATCACTCACAACAATATGAATCCAACATGACTTGGTGCAATGTGTTTGTTATTCAATAAATACACCGTTATGTGATGATTAATTTATGCAGAAATGGCGGCGAATTTAACAAAGGGTGGTGTTATTCATTCTCAAAGAATTTTCTTTTTGCACAAAAAAGCCTCTTTCAACAAAATTTGTTTAAAAGTAGAATATTATGCAATTTTTAATGTATCTAAATATTACATGATTAATAGAAAAACATGATTAATGGTAAAACATGGTATTGTCTTTTGATATCAACTTCAATCGAGCTTCGCCACTTCCTAGCCTATATCAGGCTCTCCGTATCAAATTGATATCAAAGGACTTATTATCTATATGTCCGTTCAGATTTTGTTATACAGGTTTATAAATAATGTGCATGTATGCTTAAAATACATACTTCTCTTGTATAGCCATAAAAATCTCAAAAGGTACCTTTCATATTTGAAATAACACGTGACTTACCTTTTCCGAAACACAGAATCAGCAACAGCTATTATGATGAGATATATAGCCATTAGAAAATCGGCAACTGCCAAGTTTGTTACAAATATGCCAAACCCAAGATTTAACCTCTTTCTGTCATATTTCAGCCTATAGAAAATCGTCAGAATATTTCCAAGAAACGCAGTGATTCCTACTAACCATATCAAAAACTGTAGCACAGAATGTCTCATTAGGTCATCGCAGGATGAAAACTCGTCTTTTTGAGGATAACAGTTTTCTTCTTTAACATAGTTCGGTCGAACACAGCAGTATTTGAAATCCGGGGTGATCAGTTTCTCTAAACCAATAAGTCCGGTAAATATTTCTGTACCAAACGAACTTAGATCATTTTCTTTAAAATTAATGAATTGTATAGATGCATCGCGGAAAGCAAAATTTGCAAACCTTTTCAGTGCGTTTTTTGACATGTCTAAGCTTTTCAGAGTCATTCCTGAAAACGTGTCTGCCAAAATTGTTTCCAGTTTAGCGTTAGCTAAGTCCAGTTCTTCAACATGGACAAGTCCAGCAAAGGCATACATCTCGATAACTGATAGCTGATAATTGCCTTGCAGATTTAGGATTTTGAGATGCCTTATGCTGCTAAAAACATAATTTGGCAAAAGTGTTATTAAATTGTAACTGAGATCTAAATTGCGAATATTCTTGATTCTTCTAAACGCATATGACGTTAAACGCTGTATATCACAACGCGAAAGATTCAAGATAATTAAAGCTTTTAAATTTAAATGAGATTCCTCTAAGATAGCACTAAGATTTTTGTTAGAACTAAAGTCAAGATACCGGACAGTGCCTGGTACTGTTTGTAATAAAAATAACTGAAAGTCAGTGTTGCTGCAATCAGCAACATACCCATGGCATGTGCAATTATCTGGACATTTAAAGTCACAAATTGCCTCATCGTCACCATGGATACAATGAACAATCCCGTCACAGACTTGATCTATCAATAAACAAGCATGACTCCAAGCACATTTGTAACCATAGGGGCAGTGAATTCTTGTTGTAACTGAAAACAAATTGATTTTAGAAAGTCTTATACATACAAATCAAATAAGTACATTTGTGCACTGAATACAAAAAGCTGGAAACAAAATTATCCATCGGAAGCATTAATCACAACAAAATTTCTTGAAAGTTGTAGACTTGTTGTTATATTTTTCTGGTCCTTCGGGATCATTGATACCATCACTAATAAGTGTTGAGAATTGAGTACCGCTCAAGCTGGTGCTAGGGGGCGTGAGTGATGTTGCACGTATTCAGTATTCCTCATGTACAGACTCAATCAAACCGAGTCTGCGATTCTTATGTAATTTTGTTGCAATAAATGCTTCCGAGGTATCACTTTCTTTCCAGATTTTTTGGTTTGATTGAGTCTGTACATGAAGGATAATGAATAAGTGCAACATCCCTCAGGTCCCCTAGCACCAACGTGGGCGATACTGAATTCTCAACTCTTGATAGTGTTGGCATTTATGATCCCGAAGGTCCTAAAAAGATACAACACTGAAGTGAAAAACGGGGCAACTTTTTACAGCTGCCACACGGCACTTGACACCTGCTCTTGTGAAGTTTTTGAAACTATAGTTTGAGTTCGCAAGGACACTAGCGTATGCGATTATTTTGAGTATTGCCACTTGCTATTTACATCTATATATTATACACTTTACAAAAAGGGCTTCGAAATGAGTATCTAACATTTATGGCTTGGCTTTTCAGAATTGATAAACTGATACTTGTAACAGAACATAGATATTATTTCTATTTCTAATACAATTAACGCAAAGTCGGGTAATGCACGCCCGAATACATATTTCTAAAGAGAATCAGAAATAACTTTTAAATATGACAAGTAATTAATTCTTGAAATGTGTCAAAATTTGTTTTTATCTGAGTAAATCACATAATTATGCCAAAATATGAAATATGAAAAAAGATCAACAAGGGAGGGTTGAAGTTCGTCATCTAACTGTTTAATCTTGCAAGATAAAAGAGAGGTATATTCTTTAACACATACCATAGTAAATACAGATCAGTCACCCATTACCATCATTTATGTAAAACAAGGGGGCCAATATGGCCCTAGATCGCTCACCTGACCCATTGGATCATCCGAGCTATTACTAAGACGAACATCCTGAGTTTGATGACAATTGAGTCAAACATGTGACCACTAGTGTTAACAAGGTTTTACCATATTTATGCAGTGTGACGTTGTTTTTGACCCCAGGTAACCCATATACGAATTTGACTTAGAAATCATCAAAACAGACTTTCAGAACAATTTCATGGATATTTTGTTCAAAACAGCAGCCACTAGAGTGTTAACAATTTTTGTTTCTTTCTCTAGCTCCCGTGACCTAGTTTTTCATCCGAGATGATCCATGTTTAACTTCTTCCGAGCAAATTTCTAGACAAGCACCCTGGCCAAGTTTGTTGAAAAATAAGTCAAAAATTTGACCACTAGAGTGTTAACAAGGTTTTTCATACATGGGCGGTGTGACTTAGTTTTTTATACCAGATGACCTTTATTTAAACTTGATTAAGAAATCATCATATCAAACATGCAGTCCAATTTCCAGGATATTTGGATTAAATCAGAGTGTAAAAAAAGCAAATCTATTTTAGCTCCTGTGACCTAGTCTTTCATTCGAGATGACCGTGTTCAAAATCCGTCGAGCAATTACCTAGACAAACGTCTTGAAAAAGTTTGATGATGATTGAAGCAAAAATGGGACCACTAGAAAGTTAACAAACAAATGTGGACGGACGGATCCTTAAAGCTCACCCTGACCTAGCTCAGGTGACCTGAAAAGAGAACGCGTGACATGGACCTGGAAAACCCCAACTGGCGCTATGACCGTCTCTGTATGATTAACATTTCTTCCAACTAGATTTTTGATGCATTTGATAAAAATATACAAAGAAGAAACACACTTGTGAAGCTCATACGTGATGACAGAGACGTAAATTAACCTTAATCGCATGAAGCCCAAACGCGATTCCTAAACATCGTGCTTAAATTATACAATTTTATATATATCTTTATGCGCATATTGTTGCTTCATTTCGCTATCACTCTTTATTCTATAACAATGTATGGGTAAACCTTACCATTGCATATATCGCTAAAATATTCGGCACCAATTCTATTAAGAATCTCCCATCTTCTAACATAAACATCTAAAACATTTCTTAGGCTTGTAGTCTTGGAATAACTGGAAACATTGAAATTTTCAATCACCCTGTAAACTTTTGCGTCATGTTCCAAGATGAACTTTGTGTCAAGGATGATTTCTTTATTGACATTTTCTGCAATACCATTGGTTTGAATTAGAATGAAACCTTTCACACCATCGTTTGTAAAGTGAACTGACTCTAGGAGATGTTTTGCCATTATCCTGTACTGGCAGCTAAACGAATTTTCAAAATCTTGACCCCTGCTTATTTCTTTATCATGAACGTTTAGCACCAAGTTACTGATTCCATAATCTTGGAGAGGTGTTGATGCCTTATAACTTAATACACGAATAATATTTGTTGAAGTGGAAAATTGCTGAGCAAAATGAAATATAGCCGGTCCATCGGCACTTTCTTCGTCATGTATGATAAGTATTTCATTTCTTGACGGAGAACATCCTGTAATTTAAAAGTCAATTAAATATATATAAAAGGCTATACTGTACATCAACAACAAACAACAAATATAAAATAATGTGTATAGTTATAAATAAGAATTAAAAGGATGTTCATGATACAGCATTTCATTTTTGACAAATTTACGTTTAAAAATACGAGTTAACAATTGATTTCATGACACATATTTCTGTTGTTGTAGATGTTTTTATTGTTTCTATTTTATAATCAAATCATTGTTATGTGTGCCATATTGTCGCACCGTATATCAAATTAAATGTTAGAACAATATGAAACCCGCATATTAACTGAAAAAATAAATGATATATTTATTTCTAAACTAATGTATTGAAATGATACTCGGATTTTTGTGCAATATTTCACCCGATTTGAGTTAAATACATTAGAATGCTTTTTGTTGCTTGGTCGAAAAATGAATAATTTAACACGTTTTCTTGAGAAACGGGTGAGCGAATAACCTGAAATCTTGCTATTAGACAAGACAAATATCAAACGGTTACAAATCCTTGAAGAAATATACCAGTCCATTCATCATAACAGTCTTATATAAAATGTTAAACAAATGACTAACCACACAAGTCTTCATCTTCAGTCCCAGGACAATGTATTTGTCCGTCACAAAGAAACCGTTGTGGAATACAGTAGCTTTGTGGACATTTGACCATACCACGAGGACATTTATAGTGCTCTACAAAACAAATGTATAATTTCCAAAAAGATAACTCACGCAAGCACGAACATTTATTGAATTGTAATACCTATATGTGAAAAAATGTCATGTTTAAGAATATCAATCGTCCTTATTATTGTTTATTACTGAAAAAAGTGGCTTATTTGCTTGAAATATTTCATTTTATACTCATAACATACTCAGTATATCTTTTAAGTAAAAGATTCATTGAATGTAAAAACGATTTCTTATCTAAATTAAAGGAGGGTAAGAATATTTTTAAATTGAAAGATGATCTATTTTTTAAATAATTCATTTCATTATAACCAGTACCTGAAAACAATATGTGATGAAGAAGAATAAAACGTTTATTCAGCATTTAAAACTTTTCTACATTTTACAAGTCAAAACTTGTTTTTTTGTTTGTAATACTTTTAAATTATATTGTCCTTCTCCTGGGTGTGTTTTTAATTCTTCAAATGGTAGGTTCCGAATACATGACTTCGCACAATAAATAACAAATAATTAAAAAAATAATAATATATTTATATTTTTAGATTATATCATTGTTTATTTTATTTATCGAAGCAAACTTTCATTAATTTTACTTGTTTCCATTGCCTGCCTTATGTTGTAATTTTTCTTCGACCTTAAAGTTTCATTTCCTAAAAAGGCGAGGTTGCAAGTGGGAAAAACAAATTTTAGAATAATATGTATACTTTTGGAAATCCCAATTAAGAATACATGTAAACGTGACGGTTTTCTTACGTGTGGCGTAATTTAATTTTTTCATATTACATTACACAAAACCAAACAAATATCTTCTTCATAATTTCTTTCATAGTCATAATAATAGTTAAACATTTAAATATTTAGGAAAGGTATTATAGATGGACTTAAATCTTACATGTAAATACTATTAGAGTTTTGGAAACTTATCAGAAGAGTGTAAAGAAAACTTTGCAATATATTCATCTAACCAAGTCTATGACAAAAATATACTTTTTTTAAACAATTCACAACTTTAGTTGGTTTAAATTTATTTGTATACCAGATATTGAATGTTCAACAATAAAAACAACGAAAGACTTCCCTTTCCGATGTCATACTGAATATACTACAGAGTATTTTTGTACCGTTCGGCAAGGAATTAAATTTTTGCGATGAGCTAAATTATGTTTATTTGTGTCCACTAAAAACAAGTATTTTTTGCATTCAGGTTGATAAAATAAACCAAATCGCTCCATATACAATTTTGCACCTTTATACTCATGCTAGAGCTTAATTTAACAATGAGTGGGCGTGCAATATATACTCCTAGGACAAACCTAGCTTTCATTCCTAGCCTGAAATATTTATATATATTTTCAAGCATTTGTATTTCTTAGACTTTGTATTTCAATAGTTTGATACACGAGACCGTTGTTGTATATAAAAGACATCTAAAGGCTGTTCGTTTTAAACAACACCCCTAACACGCATAACATTGGAAGTACCTCAAGACAATTATAATTATTATTATTACATTTTTTTTTTAAATAAAACATGTAAATACCACAATTGTTCAGATGACTTCCATCTCTACAACCAATAGGAAAGCCGGTTTCGTCAATGTCATGGATACATCTCATGGTTTTTGGAATATGTTTCCCGTTTATATCACAAAGAAACCTGTCATCTACAACTTTGTAATCTACAGTAGTATGAAATGCAAATATAATGTAATGAAATAATTGATGCAACGACCTTTCTCAGTTTGTCTTGTACTCCAAAGAAGTATCCAAGTAATGCCAATACCTTGCCAATTTGGAAATAATATCTAGCACAGTATGAAATAATAAAATAAATGGGATTTGGCTTAGTTATCAAGAGTATAACAGTATAAAGAATTAAAGTAAATGTTTCAATGACCTTGTAAATTTTGCAGTGTTAACTATTATAGTATGAAATAATTAAGGTATTAGGACCCTAATGGGCACTATCAGGAACTAAAAAATTGACATCATAAGTCAGATGTATACCTTAAAGTACACCTGTATGCAAAATTTAAACAAAGTTTACCGTACGGAAATCAAGTTATGGCCACTTTTCTGAACTCAAGCTAGGATGTTATGAGGGCCCTTTTTTAGAAAGTAGGAACCTTTAAATAATCTGCAATAACATTCTAATGAAAAATGTTTTCCCATTAATTTTTGGTAAGAAACAAATAGTACCATTCAGCTAACAATCCAAATAAGAAAAATTATGGTTTCTACTTAAAATTTATGAAATCTGTATAAAAATGTTACCCTACCCCACCCATTTTTACCACGTGTCTGACCATTTTTCTACTTAGGGAGCCTAATTTAAAAAAATTCTTAAAATTTACCCAAATGAGTGCCTGTTTTCAAAGTTTCCCTAAATTTTTAAAAAAGTATATTGGTTGATCTTGTAAAATATAAAATACTTTTACCGTCTAGTTTTGATTATATTACACTTTGAAAATATCAGGTACCATATTTATTACTAGATTTAACATAATTTAGCCAATAAATACCTATATAAATTAAAAAATCAAAATTAAACACTTTTTTCTTTCCAAATGGGACATGAGAGATACATAAATAATGTTAAAAGAAAAAAAGAAAGAAAAAAAAAGTTGACCCTTCTGGGGATTGAACCCATGGCCCTCATTTTCAATGTAGTTAACAGTAGTTCTAGCCTGTTTGAATACTCTTCAAAGCGGAGGTAATGCATTAGGGTGCTAATACCTTAAATAAATATTTCACAGCAGCAGGTGTCAATAAATCTAGAAACAGAGTGATCACTCGGAAGCATTAATAACAACAAATTACATGAAAATTGCAGACTGGTTTGATTCAGTCTGTACATTATCTAGGTTGATAGAGCTCTTGCGTTATAAACCTAACATCGTTTTTGGTGATTTACCTTTATTAATCAGAGTGTTCTTTTAAAAGAAAATAGTCAGAAAAAAAGATTTTCAGGTATGAAATAATTTTTATCTAAGTCATCAATTAACTTTTTCAATACATTTTTTTAGAAAACAGGGGCGTTTGTTTGACGAAAACATCAAAAGTAGGAATGATGAAGGTTGTCTTTCTGTTGGAAAACAGTCGTTAACAGAACGAGGCCACCGACGCAAGCTAGTCACACACACACACACACACACACACACACACACACACACAGACACACACACACACACACACACACACACACACAGGACACTCAGAAGACAGGGACAAAACACGAAAGAGGACATAATAACGGTGACACAATGGAATGTCGTGTACTAACTGATATGATAAGAACATATTTATCGCTAACGACATTTACAAATATTCTTTTTGTCAATTTACGCACCAAAAACATGATATGTTAACTTTATATGAATGCACGTTTATATTTTTTCTACAAAGCTTTATATTTAAATCAAATAACGAATGTAGTGCAAATAATCTGATTACTTATGACTATTATTTTGAACTGCCACGGGCATATATCTTGTTCCCTTACATACCTCTTTTTTAAAAAAAATCGTAACGGATTGTCCTCATACTTGGACACAAAAACTCTTTAGCCAAGACTTTCAATTTGACCTGACTAACCTTGATCTTGATGCATAAATGACCTTGAATATCAAGAGCCGGTTCTCAAATTACGCTTGATTTATGCTACATTTGGCTATAATGTTGTAATTTCTAAATTGATTGTCTTCATACTTGGACATAAAATCCTCTGGACAACATCTTCAATTAAACCAAATTGGTTTTGAACTTCACAAATTCATGACATTGACCTTATAGGGCAAATTAGTGGAATTTACTTGCTTTTTGCCATAATTGTCTAAAACTTGGGTTTTATGAATGTAGTGTCTTCATACTTAAGCACAACAATCCTTCTGACATGGCATTAAAAAGATCAAATTTGACTTTGATTTATAAATGATCTTCACATTGAAAGTAAATATCATTGTATTTTACAATTGTAGGTCATGATATGCTATGACTGTAATTACTGAATGGATTATTTTTATACTTGTGCACAACAATTCTTATGACAAGACATAAAAGAAGTTTTAATGCTTATTGTGAAGTTCACTTAAGGACCAATAAGTGAAATTTATTACAACTGGCCATTTCTATGGATGGCATATATACTTTGACAAACGAACGCCTCTAAATGAACTGATATGTCTAGAAATTTAAATATGATACTGTCCCATAAAGGACCTTTACTGTCAATGTCGAATATTGCATTTAATAAGATTGTCATTTTTTGTTATCTATGGATTTAAATCATACTTTGACATAACGCGCATATTGGATAATTTATGTATGACCTTAAACTTTGTTGAGATCAAATCTTTAAAATTAGCTTAGATTGTCACAACCTTTTTTATTTCTTTATATATGTGATTCATTCTTTGACAAAAGAACACATGTGACAAAATCATGTTGTCACTATGACCTTTACCGGACCTTTACCGTCAAAGTCAATTTTTTGAAATTGCTTAAATTGACATAAATTGTTATTTTTCATGGATTTTTATTTCAAAATTGGACAAAAGAACACTAATGAAAAAACTGACATGATTGATAATTAATTCAAATATCACTCGATTATGAAATGGTCTAAACCATGCATTTGGGCTTGGGTTTGTTAGTATGTTTGCAATATATAATTTTAAAGTTAACAAGAGTTTCTAGGTATTACATTTTATAATATACACAAATTAATTGTGATTTCAAAGAAGGAATGACATCAGCTTGATCACCTCAAATGGACAGCTCTACAGATCTCGAGCATTGCTACAAATTGCCCCCAACAGTGCTTTCAGTGATTTGTATGTGGTAACTATAGAGGAAATAGAAACCGTAAATCACTACAAAATAATCAGTGGTTTAAAATGGGCTTAATATGACAATGTGGTTGTTTGAATCCTATAAAAAAAAACGCCTTTCAGTTAAATAATCATTTTTAAACTAATTTTTATTTATGATGTCTTGTTGACGTACTAATATTTATATACATGTGTAAGGAAACTAGGGGAAAGGTTCGTTTGCTTCCATTTTTGCTATAATCAAAATTTAAACCTAATGTAAATCACATTCGTTTATTAAATTGCTAAACAGGAATCTCAAATATTTTGTTAAGAAAAGTTAAATTAAAGGTAAACTGTTGTATCGCCTCATAATATGACCATTTACAGGAAAACATGATTTTAATGTTAAAAGTTGAAACGGTCTCAAAAATCTGGAAAATGGGTGGTCCATCAGAAGCAAAGAAATAGTATATGAAAATTGTAGACTCAATTTCATTGAGTCTGTTTTAGAGGTAGATATGCAACATTTTTCACTCCTCTAACAAATGCTTAACTGGTCATATAAATACCAAATATCAAGACATTTTTTATAAGAATTACTTCAGACTTACCTTCCCTACATATGGCAGGTCCTAGTACAGTTTGAGATATTTCATCTTGTTTTGCCCGTCGGGAATGAACATTTACATACTGATTATGACTCAAATCTGTATATCCTGGAACAGAACCCTTGTATGTAGGATAATCGTGATGTATTGTCCAATTATTGTTGGCCAAAATTTTGCATTTCTCTATACTCATTTCATCTCCACTTCTGCATAAACATTATGAGAAAAATTTAGTTCCTATACAACATAAACTTATAATGAAATCAAAATCAAAAGTGACATTATGCCCATCCAAGTGAAATTTTAAAATAACTAAATATTTTAAATAATGTGTTCTCCTTGACAATTTAATTTTAATAATAAAAATCAAAAAATAGTAGCGGTGTCAGCGGTGTTTATCAGCTTATGCTTTAACTCTGACATGAAATTTTAACTGATTAGACAATTACTTATATACATATTCCATCTGTTTCAAAATGTGGTAACGGCTCTCACATAATTATTTGTCATTTGCAAAACATGATAAATAAGTTCTGATGAGTATAAAGCTGCATGTAGATTAGATCTGATCAAATGTAGTAAAGCATTTGAAGATATTCCATGAGACGTTATGTACAATAATTGCCAAAATGACACAATTAATTACCGGTAGTTTAATAACATTCTCTGACCTTTCTTTTATTTTCTATATTTTAGCGTATGTAAAGGAAATTGGTATTTAGATGGTTTATAACATATGCCATCATAAGTTATAAGTACACATGGAAAGCGTATAGTTTTGTTTAATTCATTTTTCTTTTAATTTAAGTAGAAATGGATACGTGCAGTATTTACCGTCGGGGTATTTCTAATTTATAAACTGAACAAAAACAAGGTGGAAGTGAGTTGTTGAACCTCGCAACACTGTCATAAGGTGGTGCACACGTTAGCTTGATCTAAAATAGTAAACAGTTTATCATGTTTAATGGAATGTAAATATCATAACAAAGATATATGCTAATACTCATAAAATCATTTTAAAATCAGATGTGTGTACTATAAAAAAAACCTGGAAAAGGAAGATCAGTGTAATTCAATGAAAATATAATATGAAATTTGCAGTCTCGGTTTGATTGAGTTTGTCATGAGAAACGATGTTAAAGTACAAAATCTTTCACTTCCCCTCGCATCTACATCAGTGGTATTCTGTCTTCAACAGTCATGTGATGAAATATTTTATCTCGAGGAACCCGAAAAATATAATTATAACGAACTAATGAATGAAACAATTTTTAAAGTTGTCCTGCAGCACTTGGCATCTGCTATTGTGAAGCATAAACATTTCAAAATAGGTGAATATTGTTAATGTAAAAAGATATATCTTAACTCGATGTTTATTGTGACATCGATGGATTTTTAAGCTCGCTAGTGGAAGTTTTGTTTTTTGATGAATAGACATATACAGTTGTATATTCATATACCACGTGACTTCGAGCCGAAGATGTATTGAAATAAGCGAAGGGCTTCCCGCCAAATTTAAATCTTATTTTATCAAATGATAAAATGTTTTGTTTTTTCTTCAACGGTCAGGAACGTTACTGAGAGTGTTTCTTAGTAGAAAAATTATGCATTTGATAATAATAAAAAAAAATCTGACAATTTATTTGTATAAATTTGTCTAAAATACATTCTCTTAAGGGTTAATATGCTTTAAATTGTTATTAGAAAACATTGATAATTGCTACACATTCCCTTTGTAAATAAAAAATGAACATGTTTTGACTTCACACAAAGTCGATATATTGACATTATAAAAATTGCAGCTTTTTTTAAGAAAAGACCAACTTTACTTGACCGCTAATATAAAATGCAATTTTCCATAGTTATTACATATTTTATTCATTCTTTCATTTAAATTAGACATATTAGATAAGAAATTTCATAGATATCAATAAATTTCTGTGATTAAAATATTTACGCAAGGCCGAGCATATTATATTTTTCAATTCTGCTTTTAAATGTGTTATCTTGTAGTAAGTATTTTATGGTTGAATATATTTGTTTTGTGGACTCAAATGGTCAAGTTTCATAACTCTAATGGTTATTTTGCCATAACTATGTCCCTTTTAATTTATCAAATAGCCGAAAATTTACAAAAGAGCCTATAGATTTGCTATTTATAAATATATTGCCTTCATATATTAACATAACAATTATTTGGAATGTTCCTGCAAGTTTATTAGATTGACCGTTACCATGAGCCATAAATGACATTGTCCTTCAAGGTCAAATAATTTAATTTTGCTGATTTTTTTGCTGTACCTGTTTATAACTTGGTTATTTACAAACAAATTATCTTCATATATAAACACAACATCCTTATTGGGAAATTAAACTTAATCAGACCTAGACATATAAATGCCCTTAACATTGAAAGTGTTTTTTTTAAGTTTGACTGTTTTTTGCTTAACTTGTTTGTAACTTTGCTATAAGTGTAGTTAATCATTCATACTTGGAGAGACATGTAATAAAAATGCAATATTACAATACTTGTGTGTGTGTGTGTGTGTGTGTGTGTGTGTGTGTGCGTGCGCGTGCGCGTGTCTGTGTCTGTGTGTGTGTGTCTGTGTGTGTGTGTGTGTGTGTGTGTGTGTGTGCGTGTGCGTGTACGTGTGCGTGTGCGTGTGCGTGCGCGTGTCTGTGTCTGGGTCTGTGTCTGTGTCTGTGTGTGTGTGTCTGTCTGTGTCTGTGTGTGTGTCTGTGTGTGTGTGTCTGTGTGTGTGTGTGTGTGTGTGTGTGTGTGTGTACAAAGTGACATGACTTAGATAGTATAAGATTAACGTAATTAATATAAATCCTTTTAACTTTTAGAATATTCCAAAAATATACCAAAGTGGCTGTAACTTTGTTGTTTACATTGACTTTGATAATGAGCCATAAATAAATTTGACCTTAATGGTCAAATTATTGAATCTTGTTGATTATTTGCTGTAACAGTGTATAACATATATTTAAACTCATCACATCATCATAAAGGACAAGACCTTGATGAAAATCATACTTACCTTGACCTGTATTCATAAATGACATGGACCTTGAAAGTTTAATTATTGAACTTTTGCCATTGTTTCCTGTTGTTTGCTGTAACTTTGTTATTGGCATATGAAATGTTTTCATACTTGGACTAAAATACCTGTTGCTTATAATTTTGCAGAAAATTGAACTGATTGAGTTTAAAGACACTTTATCTGGCAAGATCACATTATTGTACTAAGCTTGAATTCTCATAGCTTTGTTATTAGCTATCAATGTGATACATGTTTTGTCAAAACAACGTTTCTGACACAACCGATGTCGGATGATTCAAATATGACCTGGACATTTAATGTCACTATAAGTACATTTGGATTTACTTTTTGTCATAACATTTTTTTTTTATTTAAATCTATTTATGAAATTGAAAAATACTTTGACAGAATTACCCCCTATCATTCACTCTTGTAGGAAATGTTAATTTAATGGAATAATGTAAAATTATATTGACTTGAAAATTGACAAATAATTAATTTAAAAGTAACTTCATGATATATTTAATTTTAAGGAAAATGTAGAAAGCAATTGGATTTGTGAGTTAAAAATATTAGTACTGAAAATACTTTAACTGAATTAATACTAGTAGTATCATTTTTTTTGTACTGTGTCAATTTCTATCATGTAATAAACATATTTTGATATGATAGTTATTCCAATTTCTGTCAAGGTCATCGTTGGGGCATGAATCGCATTCAGGGATAGTTCTAGTTAAATATAACACCTGGTTAAGAATATTAATTTTCAGCTGGTCAAAAATATTACCATGTACATACCTGTAGAATACAGCTTGTATCAACTTTGTTATAAAGTACGAAATTCGTGTTTGTTTCACTCGATGTTGTTGGATTGTCGTAAATTTCAAAACGATAAAATTCAAAAAAGCTGATGATAATAAGACGTAACAAAATATCATAATTCAAAACAGTTTTGATTGTGTTATTGTCCATTTCATCAAATAAACACTGAAGCTTTCGTTGGTTATCTGTAAAATGTCAAAACAAATATTTATATTCTATAAAGGTTTACAGACAAGTCTTTTGAAATGTATGTGCATATATATTAATCATCATTGAAAAAAACTAAAAACTAAATTGTACTACAAAAACGTCTCAAAAACAAAGTCTTCTCCCTTTTAGTGATTTTCCTATACAGTAAAGGAACTTTCTAAAATCAATGCACATATAACAGTAAAGTGATGTTTTTTTGGTCTTTATTTTGCAATTTTGTACACAGTAATACTTAATTTCTTTATCATTGAACTTACCCATAACGTTATAATATCCAGATTTTCTATAACCACTATCCCAGACATCTTGGCATGAATCAAACACTTTGTTTACACAATCAGTTTCGTCTGTGCCGTCTTCACAATGTCGATACTCGTCACAAATTAACCTTAAGGGTATACATCTTCCAAAGTCACAATGAAAGGCGAGGTTATGTTGACATATATCTATGAAAAAAATGGTAGGATTCTCCATTTAAATTTAAAGAATATAGAAGCAGGGCATTGTAAAATTTATCCGGCTGATGAATATCAATTTACTTAACCCATTACCGCATGAGCATTTTGTGAAAAATGGCTGTTTTCATTGAAAAGACTCCCGTTACAAGTTCTCATTGCTATAAAACTATACAAACTGATCCAATACTTATCAAATTTGGCACAAATGTTCACTGGACCATTGCCTTTGTAACTACATGCTCAGTCTTAAATTCCTGTTACCATGACAACGAAGGGACATCTCAAAATTGCAAAAAAATCACTAAACTTCTTGAGATAGAGTCAAAGGCTTTTCAGCTTAGGTTACACGTTACCTTACAATCGACGTAGGGTCATTTTAAATCTCTCACAAGTCCACAATTTTCTTGGCGATGAGGTGGACTGCCCCCTTCAATCTCCCCCAAACAGAAGGGGGCACATCCTACATCTGGCAACCTTTTGATGCATCTTTTGAAAAGAGGGCGGCGCAGGAAAAAGTGGTCACTTTTTCAAACAAATTTTCTCAAATAAAACAAAGTGCTGGGGGCCTAAAAAAGGCATTTTTATCACCATTTGAGACAACTAAAAAGGGGGTTGAAAAGGCTTAGAAACGCGTATATATCTGCTAATGGGTTAATTATGAAGATATTTTAGTTGACTTAATGAAACTTACATGATGATTCATCTTGATTGGCAATGGTACATTTTTCAATATCAATAAGTATATTAATATGATCAAATCATGAATGTATATTGTTTCATAAATATCATCACCGGTAAGATGTCACAATAAAATCTTATCAATTTCGTATGTATATAACGAACCACATGCTTCTTCATCTGCTCCGTCTGCACAATGTTGAACTGCATCGCAGCGCTGCGTCAGTGGAATGCATAGTCCATTACCGCATTGGTATTCCGTAAAATCCGAACACTGTTCAAAATCTATTTATCAAACAGACAAAAATGTACTTTGGTTTTTAAATTGAGTGTCAAATGTATGTGTTATATACTCACAAATGCAAATATATATACGTATTTGCGGAGCCCATTTCGGTTATGAGGCCTTAGATAATAAAATGAGTAAATTCTTAAATAAATCAATTGGTGCTATTTAATAGAAAAAAATGCACACATTAATACAGAAGCAACTGTGTGTGCGACTCCGCTGGATTTGAAAAAAGCACTGCACCAATTATTAGTTAAGACATTTTTGAATAAGGGCTTAATCAGGTTGATTTCAAAATATTATATGCTATAATATTTAAAGTAAAAAGATAAAATAAGTTAATTGAAACTTGTATGACCTCATTAAGAGCACATACCGCAATTTTCATCAGACCCGTCGATACAATCTTTCTTGAAGTTACAAACTTGACTGATATGTATACAATCACCATCGTCACATTGGAACTGATGTTTCGAGCAAGTATTACCTTTTAAAATTTAATTAAAAAATATTTAGGCTTTTGGAAATATATTTTATAAATGCATGGATAGGGCATCTATGACCGCGTGGTTACTGTCACCGACACTTTGAGCAAATTATGCATATTATTCATTGTTTCATGATTCATTTCATGCTGTTTCATTCTGATTTTGATAAATATATTTATGAATAATCTCACTTGTTTGTATACTAAGTACTTATGCTGGTCAATTTCGGACCTAATACAATGTCGTTGAAGGCTATGCATCCATGTTTTACTTATAACGTCGCAGTTAAACTGATAAAATGCATCATACCATTTTTGTTTTCAGTACATCCTAATTCATCTGATGCATCAAAACAGTCTATCACTCCATCGCATGTAGCGATTAAAGAAATATATTCATTTGATCTACATCTAAAGAAAGATCCAATTTCAAATCGTCTTGAGTTATTTTTTCCAAAATTTTCATCTACCATTGGATGAACTGAAGTTAAAGGAATATAAAGGGTAAAACTTATACAAAATTTAAAATCCTTTAGTCTATTCTTGTCTTAGTCTTGATACAGTGTATTGTTTATACGGCTTTAATCAATGTATAGGAATAAGTTTGTTAATATAATTTTTGTGATAATTAAACAAATTCATTACTTAAAATTAATCTTTCAAAAATCGTATTGGTTTCATCACAAACACTTAAAGTAATTAAGTCCATTCAGACAAACATTAATTATTTATATTTAGCAATATGTTTCAAAATTTCTATAACGTTTCACGGCCCCAAGGCAAATACTTTTTTGACTATGCGAGACAAAAGTTAAAGATTGCAATTTGTTACTACATCAGGGGAGATAACTCTATAAATACTGAATTTCACAAGCAAAACCCAATGTGCACAGCTACATATGCTGACCATGCTCCATTTTCCAACTTTGGAGCATGTTATTCCTTTTCTTTTTAATATACTTGATCCAGTGAACACACCAATATCCAAAAACTATAGGTTGCAAGTTTTAGAAGTTTTGTTTATGATATAGAGGCAGTCAGAGACACGCTTCATGTCATTTAAACAAGCTTACCGATATTTGAGAAGAAAAAAAACTTACTTGTGACCGATGGTGTGGTTGATGATGATGTAGACAAAACAAACAAAAAACTTGTTATCCTTTTACTCTCTTAATATTACAGTTAGCCATCGGCATTTCAGAACCAACACATTTTTTATTGTAAAGGAGTCTCTAATCACGTTATCTTAAAAATATTCTTTGGCCATAAGGCCCTGCAGATGCTGAAGGCAAACAAACTACAATTCCTAAGGAAGACTCTTTAAGAAATATATGTTTCATCTGAACGAGTGAATGTTATGTATACAATAATTTTTACAGAAATAACATTTGTAAGAATAAATAACAATATAACATATTTGCCTTTTTGTTAAATATAGTAAGAGTTTACTTTAAAAAAAACCGCAAAAATAAGATAAAATCCTATTTAGCTATGTAATACGATTTACACAATATCTATTTACCAAAAAAAGTACAATTAATTTCATCTATGCCATCATAACAGTCCAATCTTCTATTACATCGAAAACTATTTGGGAGCAATTTACCATTGTCGCAAATGAATAGGTTGTCCTTCGTATGAAAGGTGGTTTCATTAATGTTTATCTCACTTTCTGGAAATGACAAACAGCACTTTAGCAGAAATTGTAATTGTTTTTGTAAAATACATCATTGCATGACCTTGAGTATTAATCGTGTCGAGTGCGCGACATGTGGTCTTATTTATTTCTTTTAATCATTGCAAAACTGAATAAAACCTATGACCAACAAAAGCTATAAAGAGAAAATTAAGACAATCAAATAAAGATACACATCTAAAAAAACAAACTTTCTTATCTACAAATGAGCATCTGCGAATACGTGACAATATCTTCTTGATATCTGAAGAGATAAAATTCTTGAAACAAAGACGATATTGAAAGTTCAAGTAATTGAAGAGTACTAATTACCAGTGTGGCAATACCACGTGACATTGACGTCATTGTCGGCATCATTTCAAAGACAAATGTTGCTCGATTCGGAAAAGAAAATAGCCGTAAATATTTCATTTCTGTACCAATTTCTTTGGGATATGCACCAGTCTAACATATTTAGGAAGAGTTTTGCCTTCCGTACTACCGGTTGATGTAAACCTAACATTTTAATCATGGCGTAGACAAGATAACGCCAGAAAACGAAATAGCTTGCAACTGAAGCCTGCTCTAATACAAGCAACTTCCAAGGTTATGCAAAGTTTTTGATAAAACGGCTTATAAACTGACGAAGATTCAATATTCTGTGGAAAGCTTATATTTTTCCCCGTGGACTGGTGCATACCCCAAAGAAATTGGTACAGAAATAAAATATTTACGGCTATTTTCTTTTCCGAATCAAGCAGTAATTGTCTTGGAAATGATGCCAAAACGTCATAGTCACGTGGTATTGCTACACTGATAACGGTCACCTTCTGTTTGACATGGTTCCCATTGTTCAGTATCTTTTGTTACCGCTACATAGCACCAATTGAAACCAAAATTTGAAGGATCTCGACAAAAGTTGAATGATGTGCCAAGATCAGCGGTGGAAAAGAAAGCTGTTTTACGATTCAGTTTGTCCCAGCTGATGCATTGCTTTCCAGTTATCGTTGTATTTCTTTTTTCCGTATATTTCATATTTTTTACACAAATACGTTTAGTTTTGATATCTGTAAGTTATGAAGTAAAGAAATATAAGTTACCAAATGCAAATCGTAACATTAAGGCCTAATAATTAAAGTCAAATTTACTGCAAAATAACTTTTGCATATTTATTATCTTTAAATAAACAAATATACGTTCAAATTCTAAAGTTTTGATAATAGTTGGTAAATATTCTTTGGGTTTTACTTCGCACCAACATAGTATAGGTCATATAGCGACTTTGCAGCTTTTCTACCTCAGCTAACCTTGTCAGGCAAGAACAGAGAGCTGAATAGCTTCCTCACATGAAAGAATAATCTTCTCTTTTGGGATTCAAATCAAACGCGATCAGGGACAAGTTGGTCAATCTAAGTGTATTTTAAAACACGTGTCAGTTTCCAAATACAGTTAAACAAATAAAACCTAACTAAATGAAGGTTCAAAAACAGGTAAATAAAGTTGGAATTTCTTGTATTATTTAAATTTATTAAATTGTACGAAAAAGTGAAGCAATTTACTATTTTGAAATTTAGATCCTCGATTTCTTTCTCCAGGTGTGAAAATGATATAGGAATTAATAATCTTATTTTCCAAGGAGTAAGAATCAAATGCTAGCAAACTATCTTTTTCATTTCATGAAATAGATTTTTGGAAAAAGAAAATTTTTTTTTTCAAAACTTTAAAATTCGACCACAATATTCAGTTTTTCTTTGTATACATTTAAACCAATTTCTACCTTGTAATAAACAGGGCTCCAATCGTGTATTAAATTCTGTTGTGAAGCACCAAAGATGACCGGTATCCCAAGGGTCTCTGCAATAATTAGCTGCATCAGATATACCTTCTCCCTGGGTAAAAAACACTATAACTTACATATGTGATTAACCTTTTCTAAATATTAATACGACTAAAATACACGTCTAAACACACGCACATACGCGCGCACACACATACTTAAATCGATCAAATGCATTAAAAGGTGAATTAGATAGCTGAAAGCTTGTTTAGAAATTCTTTCATTATTTCTATATTGGTTTACATAATGGGAAACATTCCAATGACAGGAAAATAATGATTAAAATGATAATTTTAATATTTGAGTCATTACCTTACGCAAACAAATATACATAACAAAATGGCAATATATAAAGATACGGGTGTAACGGATTGACATATGAGCATTTTTATTTGCCGAAACAAGATTAAAACATTAGCTGTCCGAGGAGCGGCCCGTTCAACTATTTTTATGCCGGACAGAATAATTCAAACAAAAAAGGAAAGGGAGTATAATTTTAAATTGATTGGTGGAATGAATCTCCATTAATGGTAAACATGAAAAGAGGCTCATAATAATTCAAACAAAAAAGGAATGGGAGTATAATTTTAAATTGATTGGTGGAATGAATCTCCATTAATGGTAAACATGAAAATGGGCTCATAACGACGCGTCAACTATTACAGTTTCAATATAATATGAATTTCAGTATTTATGACAATATCCAAAACAAAAATCTTAACAAAATTATTAATCAACAACAACGCCAACACATCCGAATTGGACTTTTTGAAATTTTTGCTTTTTCTTTGCAAAACTGAGATTATTACTATATTCCATGCGCAACAACAATCAACACATAGAAATACATGTAAATAATATTCAGTAAGATAAACAGTAAACTCATATTTAAACTGATGAAAACAAGTCAATTCATACCTGTTCTCAGTAATAAGTGAAATGTATAATTTTTACAATACAGAATTTTCTTACATTGTGTAAGAAAATGTTCAACTGAAATTGTAAATTCAAATGAGCATGGATGTCATAATTGAATGGAATAAAGTGTTCGTGATTATCTATCTATTCATAAATTGGACCTACTTTAAACATGTTGCCGTCAAGCGTGTGTTTTTGTGGAATGGTTTGGTCCCATCTTTGACACACTTTGCCTGAGAATGTTTCGCTGAGAGTACCCAAGTACTTTTCGTATGTAACATTCGAATCGGTCTTTGCAGGCACTAAAATGAAACATTTTGAAAATAACCTTAACACTTATGACCAGCCTTTGAAATGTTCAAAGTAATGGAATACGTCAATACGGTTGGATAAGAAAAAAATATCTAAGTCTATAGAGATTCATTTTAAGAAGCTTCTAAACGAGTATGCTTTAATTATATTATTGATAAGCAAACGGCATTTTGTATTAACATATAATGTTTCGTACGTCTCGTACAATGGCGACGATAAAATTAAAGCTATTCAACCAGACCGTAATCCTTTAATTTGACATGAGATTGTTTCCTCTCCTCAATTTGACGGTATTAATCTTGGTAAACGGTTTAATGCGCTTGATTAGAGTCTTGCAACGTCAGTATGGAATATTGCTAACATGTTCATGTGAAAAGCAGTATCATTGGACTAAGAAGTTTACTTATATGACAAATACGTGATTTCACAGGACAAACTACGTGATTTTACGAAGAAACAGCTGTATTTTGTGACTGAAACATTTTAAATCCAAATTGTAGAATTATATTTACTTGTCTATTGAACATAGTTACGTATGCATTTCCTGAAATATGAGTAATTTCATCCTTGATTTCAAAATTTTAAATGTAATCATTTATACTTTCTCCACACTATAATTTACATAGAAACAACCATTGTAGGACCTACGATTGATACTGCATTCCTCCCAAACTCCTTCAGATTTGCATGCAATTTTATTTTGGGCGAATAAGTATGTGCATGACATGTTATAATTGCATCTTGCACCAGTTATTTGTACACTGACATTGCCGGTATAATCTTGTGCCGGTATCTGCTCAGGGATCGTAACAAGCTCAGTGTCACGAAATGTATGTATGGACTTGACCAGAACTGCAATTTGGTAATTTTTATACATTTTTTAAATATGATATTTCATTGTTTTGTTAAATAACAGTTATAAGGATAAAATGTGCTTTTGTTGATGAAATTGTATTAAGATATTTGCTTCACCTAAGTTAATTTATCAAAGCCATTTTAATGTGTAAGTTGTACGAAATTGAATTATAATTTTTCGGTAATGGGAAGGAAAAACAATCATTACGATTTTCTAAATAAGTTAAATAACTGTAACAGTTCAAGAGAGGGGGTAGTTAGATGATTAAAATTTTTAACAATTTATGCTTCGTTTTCATAAACGAATCTCAGAAGTTAATGCCAATACTAACAAGTAATGAAACAAGAGGGTCATAAAATCCCTCACCAGAAACTACTGCTTTTAAATGTTGGACATTATTATTCAAATAAACTTGATGAAAGGCAAGTCCAGCTCTTTCTTCCGACAAGTTGAGCTCAACTTTAACTTGCCCCTCTAGTAATATATTTTCACATCACTGAATGTTTTCCTTCATAATAAACAATAGAGCGACTAAAATGGCCCTAGAGCACTCATCTAACCCATCATTTCTATATCCACTATATAAATTGAAATATGT